TTAGGTTTTAAAATATATATATTTTTAGAGTTCTTCCACTTTCTAGAGATAATCTAAATAACTATAACACCTTAAATACATTTGAGCAAAAAACGTTAAGTATCATTGATATAATAATAATAATAATAATAATAACTTTATTTGTATAGCACCTTTCATACAGAGGATTGCAGTTCAAAGTGCTTTACATCAGTAAGAAATAAGACATAACATCAGTGTAAAACAAGCAGCAAGAGCAAAGCATAAAGTGGGATAAAATAATTAAACATAAATACATGGGGAATAAAACATAGAGAAATAGTGCAGTATAATAGTGCAAAGTCAGTAAAATGCTTTGGTAAAGAGATAGGTTTTAAGCTGCCTTTTAAAAATGTCTAACGTATTGGCTTCCCTAATATTGTTGGGTAACGTGTTCCACAGTTTTGGGGCGTAGTTTACAAAGGCTGCATCACCGATCTTCTTATGACTCTTTCTGGTGACCTCTAATAGACCTGCATCTGATGATCGCAGTGTTCTGGCGGGTGTGTAGTTTATTAGAGAGTCAGCAATGTAGCTGTGTCCTTGTCCATTTAGAGCTTTGTATGTGAGGAGAAGCACCTTAAAATCAATTCTAAAAGTTACAGGAAGCCAGTGTAGAGGAGCTAACACAGGACTAATGTGTTCCCTCCTTTTGGTATTAGTTAGTCTAGCTGCAGAGTTTTGAATGAGCTGGAGTCTTTCAATAGTTTTCTTGAGGAGACCAGTGAATAGTGCATTGCAGTAGTCTAGTCGGCTAGATATAAAAGCATGAATTAGCTTCTCTGCATCATTTTGATTTATGAAATGAATACCTTCGCTATGTTTCTGAGATGAAAGAAAGCTATTTTGGTCACTTTGTTTAAATGGGCGTTGAAGTTCAAATCTGAGTCCAGGATGACACAGAGACTTGTCACCTCGGGTTTAATCCAAGTGGTTAAGCTTCCTAGATTATTTGTTAGCATCTCTCTTTTTGATTTGGGGCCAACAAGTAGGACTTCAGTTTTGTCCTCATTCAATTTAAGAAAGTTATCGTTCATCCATTGGTTTATTGCTGTCAGGCAGTTGGTAATGGAGTTTATGGCTGTCGCATCATTTGGTTCAGCGGATATGTACAATTGTGTATCATCCGCATAGCTGTGGAAATCTATACCATACTTTCTGATGATGTCGCCGAGCGGTAACATATAGAGAGAAAAGAGTAATGGACCTAAACAGCTCCCTTGTGCAACCCCGTAGCGGCTTTCATGTTTCTCTGATGTGTGGCCTCCTAGACTAATATAGAACATCCTTCCTCTGATATGTGTTTTGATCCAGTTCAACACGCAGCCAGAGAAACCAATAAGCTTTTCAAGTCGATTTATCAGGATGTTGTGATCAATAGTATCAAAAGCTGCACTGAGATCTAATAGGATAAGGATGGAGATTTTATTTGCATCAGAGTTGAGTCTGAGGTCACTAATTACCTTTGTGAGTGCAGTTTCCGTACTGTGGTATCTTCTGAAACCTGACTGAAATACTTCTAAGATGTTGTTTTCTTTAAGATAGGAATTTATTTGGACTGAGACAATTCTTTCCAATATTTTACTGATAAATGGAAGATTTGATATTGGTCTGTGGTTTGCTACTGTGTTGTTATCCAATTTAGGTTTCTTTAATAGAGGCTTTACAACAGCTGTTTTAAAGGCATCAGGGAAGATACCAGTTTTAAGGGCTGTGTTTATAATGTCCAGGACCGGACTGGAGACGCTATCAAACACTCGCTTAAAGAATTTTGTGGGGATAGGATCAATGTCTAAAGTTGTGGAGTTTGCTTCTGAGACAGTTTTACACAGTTCGCTTAGTGTGATGCATGTAAAGTTACTCATGGTTACATTACATACTCTACTGAGATCGGTTTCATACTACAGTAGCTCTGATTGAAGTTATTTTGTTCTCAAAAAACAGAGCAAATTCCTCACATTTAGCTGTTGAGGAGGGTGGGGGGGGCAGAGACAGTGTTTAGCAGCTGATCGATAGTGGAGAAAAGGACTCTGGAATTTCCGGCATTTTCTGTTTTAATATTGGAAAAATAATCTTTCCTTGCTAGTCGGATAGTTCTGTTATAGGCAGTTAAAGCATCTTTGTAGATATCACAGCAGATAGTGGTTTTTGTATTCCTCCATTTTCTCTCTGCTGCACGACATTTCCTTTTTTTATATGTTATAAGTGTAATGTTTTCTGGACTTTTTGAAACATGAAAAGTACAAATTAAGCATTCACTAAATATTTCTAAATGAATCTATATTAATGTATTTATTATCGGTTAAAATGTTACTTAGAATATAAAGTTGTAAGGGACGACATTAAAGAGTGGTAATTAAAGCTTTTAGCACACTTATAATTACTCACAAACAACAACAAATAATTACCTTAATAATAGCAATTGTTTGCATGCTGAAAGTGTTATTTTGTTATTAGTTTAAAATTGTATCTTAATCAAAGATATATTTTTTTTCTTTTTTCAATGCAGCTGTTCATTCAGATCACTTCCTCTTTATTTGAGGAGGTTTTTGTACGACGTTGTATCACTGTGTGAACGGGTAGCTGTTACTCTGCTGACAATAATAATCTCCTGCATCTACAGTCTGAACTCCAGTGACGGTGAGAGTGAAGACAGTCCCAGATCCACTTCCACTGAAACGATTTGAAACTCCAGAGTGAAGAGATGTAGCATAATAAACCAAGAGTTTAGGAGCTTCTCCAGGTTTCTGAAGGTACCAGTGAAGGTATGAACTAATACTTGTACTGGCTGTACATTTGATAGAAAGAGTCTGTCCTGGAACAACAGACAGAGATCCAGGAGACTGAGTCAGGAGGATTTCTCCTGATGAATCTGGAAAACATGAAAATAGCAGAAGGGTTATTGAGACAAACAGCGTGGAGAAAGATGATCAACATCCAAACAGAAGAGCATCCTCTCTTTAACATGGAGAACAGTTGGAAGAAGGTACATGCTGCTTGTCTCAGTGCTTCTCCATCATAGCAGATCATCATGTTGGGGAACCTGGTTGCATCCTGAAGCAAAGTTTTCAGAAGAGAGTCTCACCCTGAACAAGGAGCCCCAGGGTGGCCAGCAGTAGAGTCAGTGACATCATCATTGTGCTGCCGGCGTGTCAGTGGCTCTGAAAGGTCTGGACAGCCGCTGATCACCTCTGGCCTCTTAACGTCTGGGAGCAGAGAGGCAGGACACATATGCAAACACACAGAGTCAGTGAAGTGTAGCTGTCCTCAAACAGCATGGGTGTTCCCCCTCAGTGCTGACAGCATTCACTGTTTCATGTTTCACTACATAATGGGCTCTCAAAGATTACTATGTCGTACACAAGTTCATTTGGTTCACACAAAGCAGCAAGTTGAGCCTGTTGGTGAGAAGATTTTAAAGTGTAGAAATATATGTTGTTTAACACACGTGAAAGAAAAAAAGGTTGTTGATACAGATTGTTAAAAGGTTTTCACACCAGAATACAAATTCAGCGTTGCAAGTTTTCTTATACAGTAGCTACTTTAATTTACTTGATTCATTTTGACAAAAATGTAAGTCCGATGTCGGCAATTCATCCTTTTTGTAAATCTAAAAGGAGAGTGGCATGAGACAGAATACTTTCTTTAATGGCTGATCACATTATGGTCATTAAGATGAAACAAGGCAGTTTTATATGATGTAAAAATGAATATCATTGGTGGGGAATATAATTGTATGATGAATATACTCAGAGAAGATACCTGAGATGCTGATGCTTTTCTTTCATCTCCATTAAGTTGTATTATTACAATTCTCAGATGCTCCTTTTTCCTCATCTGTTCAAATCTACTGTCTGAAATAGGGCGAACACTTTAGATCAGACATTGACTGTTGAGCAGCATGAAGTGTTGGATTCACATCTGTTGTTTACCGTTTACATTATTTGTTAAGTTGAATCCCAATGTGCTTCAAGCTAAGCTGGAGATGATCATTTACATATCTATTTGTCCATTTAAACTGTGTAACTCCATTTCTTCTTTACTTTCACAGCCATCACTCACTGAAATGTCCAAAGGACTGTTAAATGAACTTTGACCGGCTCTTTGAAAAGATCTCATGTAACAGCTTGATTTGTATTCATGGCTCCACATTAAATAAAGAGTCCAGTTTAAGATACTTGTGATCCCTTTTAGAGCTCTGCATGGTCAGACAGCCTCCTTTATCTCTGACCTTCTACAGGGCTGTATCACTAGGAGGGTCAGGAACGTCTCATGATCAGGGCTTGCTGGATTTACCTCACTACAGACTTTAAAGTGAAGGTGACCTTTGATTTGAAGTCGGGACTTTTGATCTTTGGGAGTCACTCCAGTGAGACAGAAGTGAACACTGTTTCAAAAAAGAAGCTGAGGGACCCATGAGTTTAGTGTGGCTATTTTTTAGTATTTTACTATGGTGTGTATGAGTTCATTCACTTAATATATTATTAGAAATATTTCAGAAGTCTTTGCTTGAAAAAGAATAAAGTTACACGCTTAATGGAGACTGAAAGTTGTGGGATGTGTGTGTGTGTGTGTGTGTGTGTGTGTGTGTGTTGTGGTGTGTGTGTAGTGTGTGTGTTGTGCTGTGTGGGTGTGTGTGTGTGTGTGCTGTGTGTGTGTCTGTGTGTTTTGTGTGTGTGCCTCGTGTGTGTGTGTGTGTGTGTGATGTGTGTGGTGTGTGTGTGTGTGTGTGTGTCGTCTAGTGTGTTGTGTGTGTGTGTGTGGTGTGTAAAAGATGTGTGTGTATGTTCTGTGTGTGTGTGTGTGTGATGTGTGTTGTGTGTGTGTGTGTAGTGTGTTCTGTGTGATGATGTGTGTGTGTGTCCTCCGTGACGTGTCTCCGTCCCTGCCGTCGCTTCCCTCTTGCCGCAGTCCGTTCCGTTCCTGTTCCCGTCTGACTGAGGGAGGTTTTTTTTGTACGACGCTTTTTCACTGTTGTGAACACCTACTGACTGTTGGGGATATGGAGACTCTGACAGTAGTAAACTGCTGCATCATCAGTCTGGACTCCACTGATGGTCAGAGTGAAGTCAGAGTTTGATCCACTGCCTGTAAAACGGTTTGAAATCCCTGATGCTCGAGTGCTAGTAGAGTAAATGAGCGGTTTAGGAGTTCCTCCATCTCTCTGTTGGTACCAGGCTAAATAGTCCCCATTATAAACCACCTGACTGGTCCTACATGTGATGGAGATGGAGCGTCCCGGAGCAGAGCTCACTGCTCCAGACTGACTCACTGTGAACTGGCCTCTGGACTCTGAGGATACAGAGACAAAGACATAAAGCAGCGTCATGGTTTTGTCCGCTTCATTTCAGAGGGACGGATGTTCACAGAGGAGAGGAGTTTGATTCTCTGGACTTTACCTGTGAAGCAGCAGCAGAGGAGAGTCCAGATGAGGACGCAGATCAAAGTCATGTTTTGATGAGGAGGATTTCTGTGGCTTCTGTTGTCATGAAGGACAGCTGTCAGTCATCCAGTGTTCAACTCTCAGGACTATAAGGTCTCCCAGAGCACTGGAGCATGGTGCTGCTGATGCAAAGTGTCTCTCTATGGAAATGCTCTGACTGACTCCAACAGGGACCTGGATTACTCTGATGATGCTGTTTATCAATGGATCCATCTCCTCTGTCTGAGGATTGATCTGGAATGGGTCAGCACTCACTTGTATGAGGCTCTAAGTTCAATGGACACATTTTCCTTGCAGTTAATTTAATTAAAAAGCTCAAATTAATAACCCCAAATAATCATCCCGCCTAGGAAAAACAAAATTGAGATTTATTATTGATCCTGATGGAAAAACAAACTTGTAGTCATGGAAATGATTCACATTTGGAAGTATAACATGTAGAGATTTTATTAGACATTTATTGTTTTATTTAAGTGTTCAATTACTTTGCTTGCTGATGTTTAAAAGTTGATAAAAATCGTGAAACTAAACATATTTTGTGAACAATCCGTTTTTCAAAAGAAGAATCTTCATTTTAAAACTGAAGAGATGAGTAAATATTTGTTGTAAATGTTTAAAAGGTTCACTAAAGAAACAGTAGATACTTTTCCAGAGTGTGTGAATCTGTTTCAAACATTATAAGCAGTTATTATATAAACTGGGTAAACCGTGGATGTGTTTGGTGAGTTTGTTTGTGTCAAAGTCAGAGAGCCGTGTCTCTCTACAGTGAGAGGTTTTTGTACGGCGGCTCAATGACTTTGTATCACTGTGGTACACGTTCGGTGGAGGAACCAGACTGGATGTTGGAAGTAAGTCAAATGTTAATTTATAAGAGAAATTTCTATTTTGTTGTACTTTTTATTTAGCAAACTAAGAGAAATAGTTGCCTCTCCATGTCATTTTATAAATTCTTCTCAAATATTTTGCACTGAGAGGCTAACTTTACTCCAGCAAAAGACGTTTAAATGTTTTCATGAGAGTTAAAGATTGAACAGAGAATAAATCATTATTTCCACCTTTAATGGTGAAGTAGCATCTTGAGGGCTGGTAGGTTTAGTTCAGTGTGTCAAAGTCAGAGAGTCGTGTCTCTCTACAGTGAGAGGTTTTTGTACGGCGGCTCAATTACTTTGTATCACTGTGGTTGACTTTTGGTGGAGGAACCAGACTGGATGTTGGAAGTAAGTTTCTGCACAAAAACTAAATATGATGTTGTTAAGAGACGTTTGAATTCTGTGTTGGAATATTTGAGAGATAGATTTTTATTATTTTAATTGTAATGTTTAGATAGTATTAATATTCATGTTTTTATTTCTCTTCATCATTGAGCAAAGTCGGAGCAGCTTTTCTTGAAATGTCATTATACATTCCCAACAAATTGTCATTTAAACAGCTTCAAATGTGAAAGGATAAAACTGCAAATGTTAAAATAATCTTTCCTTTAACTTATTTTGAATTTTCTATCTCGGTTCTCCCTTCTGTTTTTGAATAAATTAAGAATACAGTTTTTAAATACAGATTAACAGAGTAAAGATATCGACGGATATAAAAAATGTGTTGTATTATTTTAGACATTATTTTAAAGTTTGTAAAACTGGGTAGTGATTGAGATTCACATTGAGCACAATTGATTGTTCCATTTCCTGTATTTGTTCATTTATCCACTACATCATTTAATAATGGTTTGTAGAGTTCAGGTTTTGGATGATTTGAACAACAACTACTTAAAATATGTCCTAATGTTGTACTTTATTTCCAGTGTAGTCTGACATATTTCAGGTGATTCTGTATGAAGTGTCTCTGTGCTGATTTGCATGAGAGGCTTCTTAAAGGGAAGTGAAACAATGTGTGAGTGAGAGACTGATGGAGCAGAACCAACATCTGACAGAAACTCCTTAAAGGAGAAACACTCTCACCGTAAAGGTGTCCCAGTGTCTGCTGGTTGATTGACAGCTGTGTGCTCCCTGTCCTCTAATCTGATTGGTGTCTCCTAGGTGATGTCCGTCCCACCCTGACGGTGCTGCCCCCCTCCAGAGAAGAGCTGCAGCAGGGGAAGGCCACGCTCATGTGCCTGGCCAACAAGGGCTTCCCCTCAGACTGGAGTCTGGCCTGGAAGGTGGACGGCAGCAGCAGCAGCAGCAGCTGGGAGGAGAGCAGGAGCCCCGGGGTGCTGGAGAAGGACGCCCACTACAGCTGGAGCAGCACCCTGAGGCTCTCTGCAGACCAGTGGAGGAAGGTGGGCTCTGTGACCTGTGAGGCCACCCAGGGCTCCCAGACTCCGCTCTCAGAGACACTGAGGAGAGACCAGTGTTCCCAGTCCTGAGCTGACTCACTGGGACTCTGCTTCCTCTCTCACACTGCTCTCAGTCTGCTCTCTGGCTCTCAGGACATGTTTCAACATCAACCTGTTTTTGCTTTGTCGATGGTTTCAACATTTTAAAATAATAAAGATGAATGTGTGTATTTTAAAAGTGGCATGTCTTCTGATTCCCTTTCTCTAAAATATTATATATGTAAGGAACCTCATTCACATTAATTCACAAAAGATTCATCCTAGTTTTATTTGTGTTAATCAAGATTGGTACCAATAACCATAGCATGAACATTTTAATGGTAAACCGCAAAGCTCTCTCTTATCACTAATGTTAAAGTAAATCCATGTGTGATGTTCATGTGTTGTTAAACTTTACCTTGAATATATTCTCAAAATCTGAATCAAAAATATTTTCAGGATTATAAAAAGCAGTAAATCATCTGCATAAAGTTAACTAACATGAATCTAAAATAATATTTTACCTATCTAGATGAAACATTACATACAGTACTACAGTCTCTGTCTTTTTAGCAGAATTTAAACATTGATTTTTTGGTACTTGAATTGAAACTAATATTATACTAAAACAAAGCTCCTATCGTCTTTTCCTAACCACTACTCCATGACGTCTGAGGGAAACGTCACAGAGTTAATGAATAGTGGTTTTTAATGGTGTTGTTTTATGATTTATGAACCTGGACAACAGTGAAAAATATATTATTCATTAGGTTGGAATTGAAATATAAACGTAAATTGAAACTTATTGTTGCTCACACGTATTAATCCACATGAATCCCAATACGTATGATTGTATGAAAATATTTTAAAGTAAATACAATTGTATTTATTATAAACTTGTTAGGCCTCAACCTATCACTGTGTATACCACCAATCAAACGTGTTTGATAAAGTTTAAGAAACCTCAACTCAGTAAAGACTGAGAAATGTTGACTTTATTTGATCATTTTACAGTTAAAAAGTAACGCTCATATTTTGTCTTTTGATTATTATAGTGTTGAACGTTCAAAACCAATCCCTTTGGCAAGTTAAGATATAACTTGTAAAATGTTTAATAAGCACCGTAACTTTCATGATATTTAGTTCTCGGTCACTGTCGTTGTTTCCGTGAACGGCCGAATGTTGTGTCCAGGTTAATGTCGCGGACGCAAGGTATTGTGGGACAACATTTTCTGCTTTCCTTTCCTAAAGGAGTGTTTCCTAATCAAAGGAGTGTTTCATAGCTAAAGGAGGCTATAAAGGAAGTTTCAAAGCTCCTTTCCTATCATCTAGAGAATTCCAACGGCTCATGTCATGGCTGCCACTGAGGCACTCCCGGGTCATTTCACTCCGTTAGAAACCTTCCTAAACTAAACTGACAATTCAAACGCAACTTAAGACCTATTCATCAGCTGTGTTCATGCATTATATAAACATAATGACTCATATGTTGCTGTGTCACATCAAAACAGTTTGTATCCAAAGAGACTGAGTTTGTCTCAGGCAGAGTTGGGTGTAACGCGTTACAAAGTAACAAAGTAACGCGTTACTGTAATAATATTACTTTTGTCGGTAACGGAGTAGTGTAACGCGTTACTTTGTTACTTTTATAAAATCAGTCATAATCACACTGACAGACAAGAGGGGTTTCCGCCGCAGGTTTATATGTACGTAATCTGTGCGACTTGCGCGTCCACATCTCCGCGTGCAGTGCTGCATAAACATGGCTGAGTCAGCGATAACTTTCGAGGGGTGGAGGTATGCCCATTATTTTGAGTTCGTCCGAAGAATAGACAGGAATGTGACGGTGAGGTGCAAACTGTGTCCAGGCCAGAAGCTGTTATCCACTGCTGTAAACACCACGTCAAACCTCAACAAACACCTGCAAAGAACACATGCTAAGGTGAAGCTAATAGCTAAGGACCCCCGAACCCAGAGTGAGGATGTTGTGAGTCGCCGCCGCCGAGTCCGAAGCAGCACAAATTAGAATTTGGAGGACCGGTAACCAAAGCAGAGATGGACAGGCTTGTAGCATCCTTCATAGTAGAGGTAATGTTGCCCATTTGCACAGTGGAATCACCATCGCATCGTTCATAGATATACTGCGCAAAATACAGATAGCAGGAGACAGAGGACAGCCATGGTCAGAGCTATCTGAATCAGTCTAATGCGACAATGGAAACTGAACTAAAGAGAACATTTGAAACTTTAGCAGTCTGCGTGATCTGCCTGCAGGGAGGGGCTGGCCGGCCCTGCGAGTAAAGTAACGAGTAAAGTAACGAGTAAAGTAACGAGTTACTTTATGTAGAGAGTAACGAAGTAGTGTAATATATTACTTTTTTTTAAAGTAATATGTAATATGTAATATATTACTTTTTTTTAGTAACGACCCCATCTCTGGTCTCAGGGTCTTATCACTGAGATTTTATAATCCTCTTTTAGGTTTTAAAATATATATATTTTTAGAGTTCTTCCACTTTCGAGAGATAATCTAAATAACTATAAAACCTTAAATACATTTGAGCAAAAAACGTTAAGTATCATTGATATGTTATAAGTGTAATGTTTTCTGGACTTTTTGAAACATGAAAAGTACAAATTAAGCATTCACTAAATATTTCGAATTGAATCTATATTAATATATTTATTATCGGTTAAAATGTTAATTAGAATATAAAGTTGTAAGGGACGACATTAAAGAGTGGTAATTAAAGCTTTTAGCAAACTTATAATTACTCACAAACAACAACAACAAATTACCTTAATAATAGCAATTGTTTGCATGCTGAAAGTGTTATTTTGTTATTAGTTTAAAATTGTATCTTAATCAAAGATTTCTTTTTTCTTTTTTCTATGCAGCAGTTCATTCAGATCACTTCCTCTTTATTTGAGGAGGTTTTTGTACGACGTTGTATCACTGTGTGAACGGGAAGCTGTTACTCTGCTGACAATAATAATCTCCTGCATCTACAGTCTGAACTCCAGTGACGGTGAGAGTGAAGACAGTCCCAGATCCACTTCCACTGAAACGATTTGAAACTCCAGATTGAAGATTTGTAGCACGATATACCAAGAGTTTAGGAGCTTCTCCAGGTTTCTGAAGGTACCAGTTAAGGTATGTACTAACACTTGTACTGGCTGTACATTTGATAGAAAGAGTCTGTCCTGGAACAACAGACAGAGATCCAGGAGACTGAGTCAGGAGGATTTCTCCTGATGAATCTGGAAAACATGAAAACAGCAGAAGGGTTATTGAGACAAACAGCGTGGAGAAAGATGATCAACATCCAAACAGAAGAGCATCCTCTCTTTAACATGGAGAACAGATGGAAGAAGGTACATGCTGCTTGTCTCAGTGCTTCTCCATCATAGCAGATCATCATGTTGGGGAACCTGGTTGCATCCTGAAGCAAAGTTTTCAGAAGAGAGTCTCACCCTGAACAAGGAGCCCCAGGGTGGCCAGCAGTAGAGTCAGTGACATCATCATTGTGCTGCCGGCGTGTCAGTGGCTCTGAAAGGTCTGGACAGCCGCTGATCACCTCTGGCCTCTTAACGTCTGGGAGCAGAGAGGCAGGACACATATGCAAACACACAGAGTCAGTGAAGTGTAGCTGTCCTCAAACAGCATGGTGTTCCCCCTCAGTGCTGACAGCATTCACTGTTTCATGTTTCACTACATAATGGGCTCTCAAAGATTACTATGTCGTACACAAGTTCATTTGGTTCACACAAAGCAGCAAGTTGAGCCTGTTGGTGAGAAGATTTTAAAGTGTAGAAATATATGTTGTTTAACACACGTGAAAGAAAAAAAGGTTATTGATACAGATTGTTAAAAGGTTTCACACCAGAATACAAATTCAGCGTTGCAAGTTTTCTTATACAGTAGCTACTTTAATTTACATGATTCATTTTGACAAAAATGTAAAGTCCGATGTCGGCAATTCATCCTTTTTGTAAATCTAAAAGGAGAGTGGCATTAGACAGAATACTTTCTTTAATGGCTGATCACATTATGGTCATTAAGATGAAACAAGGCAGTTTTATATGATGTAAAAATGAATATCATTGGTGGGGAATATAATTGTATGATGAATATACTCAGAGAAGATACCTGAGATGCTGATGCTTTTCTTTCATCTCCATAAAGTTGTATTATTACAATTCTCAGATGCTCCTTTTTCCTCATCTGTTCATACTGTCTGAAATAGGGCTAACACTTTAGATCAGACATTGACTGTTGAGCAGCATGAAGTGTTGGATTCACATCTGTTGTTTACCGTTTACATTATTTGTTAAGTTGAATCCCAATGTGCTTCAAGCTAAGCTGGAGATGATCATTTACATATTTATTTGTCCATTTAAACTGTGTCACTCCATTTCTTCTTTACTTTCTCAGCCATCACTCACTGAAATGTCCAAAGGACTGTTAAATGAACTTTGACCGGCTCTTTGAAAAGATCTCATGTAACAGCTTGATTTGTATTCATGGCTCCACATTAAATAAAGAATCCAGTTTAAGATACTTGTGATCCCTTTTAGAGCTCTGCATGGTCAGACAGCCTCCTTTATCTCTGACCTTCTACAGGGCTGTATCACTAGGAGGTCAGGAACGTCTCATGATCAGGGCTTGCTGGATTTACCTCACTACAGACTTTAAAGTGAAGGTGACCTTTGATTTGAAGTCGGGACTTTTGATCTTTGGGAGTCACTCCAGTTAGACAGAAGTGAACACTGTTCAAAAAAGAAGCTGAGCACCCATGAGTTTAGTGTGGCTATTTTTTTAGTATTTTACTATGGTGTGTATGAGTTCATTCACTTAATATATTATTAGAAATATTTCAGAAGTCTTTGCTTGAAAAAGTGACACGCTTAATGGAGATGAAAGTGTGTGTGTGTGTGTGTGTGTGTGTGTGTGTGTGTGTGTGTGTGTGTGTGTGTGTGTGTGTGTGTGTGTGTGTGTGTGTGTGTGGTGTGTGTGTGTGTGTGTGTGTGGGTGTGTGTGTGTGTGTGTGTGTGTGTGTGTGTGTGTGTGTGTGGTGTGTGTGTGTGTGTGTGTGTGTGTGTGTGTGTGTGTGTGTGTGTGTGTGTGTGTGTGTGTGTGTGTGTGTGTGTGTGTCAGTCAGTTCAGTTCCTGTTCAGTCTGACTGAGGGAGGTTTTTGTACGACGCTTTTTCACTGTGTGAACACCCACTGACTGTTGGGGTTATGTACACTCTGACAGTAGTAAACTGCTGCATCATCAGTCTGGACTCCACTGATGGTCAGAGTGAAGTCAGAGTTTGATCCACTGCCTGTAAAACGGTTTGAAATCCCTGATGCTCGAGTGCTAGTATCGTAAATGAGCAGTTTAGGAGTTCCTCCATCTCTCTGTTGGTACCAGGCTAAATCGTCACTATAAATATTCTGACTGGTCCTACATGTGATGGAGACGGAGCGTCCCGGAGCAGAGCTCACTGCTCCAGACTGAGTCACTGTGATCTGGCCTCTGGACTCTGAGGAGACAGAGACAAAGACATAAAGCAGCGTCATGGTTTTGTCCGCTTCATTTCAGAGGGACGGATGTTCACAGAGGAGAGGAGTTTGATTCTCTGGACTTTACCTGTGAAGCAGCAGCAGAGGAGAGTCCAGATGAGGACGCAGATCAAAGTCATGTTTTTGATGAGGAGGATTTCTGTGGCTTCTGTTGTCATGAAGGACAGCTGTCAGTCATCCAGTGTTCAACTCTCAGGACTATAAGGTCTCCCAGAGCACTGGAGCATGGTGCTGCTGATGCAAAGTGTCTCTCTATGGAAATGCTCTGACTGACTCCAACAGGGACCTGGATTATTGATCACGAGGAAGAAGATAAAGAAGATGGACCTCCCCTGGGGAAAGATTCTGTTTCCTCTCTGTTTTTTGTACACACACACATTACAAGTACATAGGTGCACAGGAACATGTGCCAGGGAGCACATGGGGGTTCGGTGCCTTGCTCAAGGGCACTGCCGCCCGGAATGGGTCAGGGCTCACTTGTTCTTTCCAAAAAGTATTTCTCAATTTCATATAATTCACTCCCACACAAATCAATGCTCTCTTCCTCTGAAACAATCTAAAATAACGTCATTACATGTACTTCATTCAATACGAGTATTTTGCTTTTTAAATGTATAACAGCTCATAAAAAAAGATTCAATACTTCTCCATAGTTTGTGAATCTGTTTCAAACATTTGAAGCAGTTATTATATAAACTGGGTAAACTGTGGATGTGTTTGGTGAGTTTGTTTGTGTCAAAGTCAGAGAGCCGTGTCTCTCTACAGTGAGAGGTTTTTGTACGGCGGCTCAATGACTTTGTATCACTGTGGTACACGTTCGGTGGAGGAACCAGACTGGAGTTTGGAAGTAAGTCAAATGTTAATTTATAAGAGCAGTTTCTCTTTTGTTGTACTTTTTATTTAGCAAACTAAGAGAAATAGTTGCCTCTCCATGTCATTGTATAAATTCTTCTCAAATATTTTGCACTGAGAGGCTAACTTTACTCCAGCAAAAGACGTTTAAATGTTTTCATGAGAGTTAAACATTGAACAGAGAATAAATCATTAATTCCACCTTTAATGGTGAAGTAGCATCTTGAGGGCTGGTAGGTTTAGTTCAGTGTGTCAAAGTCAGAGAGCCGTGTCTCTCTACAGTGAGAGGTTTTTGTACGGCGGCTCAATGACTTTGTATCACTGTGGTGGACTTTTGGTGGAGGAACCAGACTGGATGTTGGAAGTAAGTTTCTGCACAAAAACTAAATATGATGTTGTTAAGAGACGTTTGAATTCTGTGTTGGAATATTTGAGAGATAGATTTTTATTATTTTAATTGTAATGTTTAGATAGTATTAATATTCATGTTTTTATTTCTCTTCATCATTGAGCAAAGTCGGAGCAGCTTTTCTTGAAATGTCTTTATACATTCCCAACAAACTGTCATTTAAACAGCTTCAAATGTGAAAGGATAAAACTGCAAATGTTAAAATAATCTTTCCTTTAACTTATTTTGAATTTTCTATCTCGGTTCTCCCTTCAGTTTTTGAATAAATTAAGAATACAGTTTTTAAATACAGATTAACAGAGTAAAGATATCGACGGATATTAAAAATGTGTTCAATTCTTTTAGACATTATTTTAAAGTTTGTAAAACTGGGTAGTGATTGAGATTCACATTGAGCACAATTGATTGCTCCATTTCCTGTATTTGTTCATTTATCCACTAAATGATTTAATAATGGTTTGTAGAGTTCAGGTTTTGGATGATTTGAACAACAACTACTTAAAATGTGTCCTAATGTTGTACTTTATTTCCAGTGTAGTCTGACATATTTCAGGTGATTCTGTCTCTGTGCTGATTAGCATGAGAGGCTTCTTAAAGGGAAGTGAAACAATGTGTGAGTGAGAGACTGATGGAGCAGAACCAACATCTGACAGAAACTCCTTAAAGGAGAAACACTCTCACAGTAAAGGTGTCCCAGTGTCTGCTGGCTGATTGACAGCTGTGTGCTCCCTGTCCTCTAATCTGATTGGTGTCTCCTAGGTGATGTCCGTCCCACCCTGACGGTGCTGCCCCCCTCCAGAGAAGAGCTGCAGCAGGGGAAGGCCACGCTCATGTGCCTGGCCAACAAGGGCTTCCCCTCAGACTGGAGTCTGGCCTGGAAGGTGGACGGCAGCAGCAGCAGCAGCAGCTGGGAGGAGAGCAGGAGCCCCGGGGTGCTGGAGAAGGACGCCCACTACAGCTGGAGCAGCACCCTGAGGCTCTCTGCAGACCAGTGGAGGAAGGTGGGCTCTGTGACCTGTGAGGCCACCCAGGGCTCCCAGACTCCGCTCTCAGAGACACTGAGGAGAGACCAGTGTTCCCAGTCCTGAGCTGACTCACTGGGACTCTGTTCTCTCTCTTCCTCATTCATGATCAATTTTAATCAAATTGAATGATTGCAATACTTCAATTTTCATTATTGTAATTATGTGTATGCCATTAAAAAAATAAAGCAAATTAAATGTAAAATAATCAATGGACTTTTTTTATAGAAACCTTTGCTTTATCCAACATGTTAGAAATACAAGATTTTAACAAATGTCACAGTAAGACTTTACTCGTGGTTTTATTAATCCACTTTTGAATCACATCATCTGTTGCCATTTATCCACCGTATACTCTTTGAAGCTCACCCAACTATCTGTTTACCAATAATATCCTAATATATATTAACCAGCTGTAGATGGATGGATAAGAGTGCTGCTTACATTATATAATTAAAAAATACAGTACTGTACATCTACATTACTTTTTTTTTTTAATTAGCAATAAATCAGTCTATCAGTATTATCAGAATATTTTCAGAGTATAATAATGATAAAATTATCCAATATGTTGCTTTTATGACATTTACAAGATTACAAGAGGAACACCATAACTGTTTGTAGACTGAAAATTTTTTCTAATATTTGAGAAGATCTCAAAGGATAATATTTTGGATCTCCTTCCTCTGTTTCAAAATATGGAGGCTTTCGGTTATTTATATTTAAAATGTTCTAACATGTTTAAACATGTCATGTGGACACCTGGGTTTATTTTCACCCGAGGTAAGCTAAATAACTACATATATGTGACCTGCTCTATCGAAATCAGTCGCATTGACCCGAAGACACATTTTGAGTTGTATACACTGTTGGAAAGAGGAGATTCCTAGCTTTCTAATGATATCAAGATTGTTTTTGTACTCCAAATATTAAGCAAAATATGTCACATTATATAATGACTGTCACCGAGTCATCATTTTGAGAAAAAGGCCTTCAAAGTTTCCTCTTCTCTGGAATCCATCGATCTGATTGATTATTAGCGGAGCAAATGATCAAAATAGTCCGGAGGGGAAATATTTCCGTTTGGATTACTGGTCTGGGGGAAGCTCGCGAGTGTGTGTGTGTATGTGTGTGTGTGTGTTTGTGTATTTTTGCGTTTGTGTGTATTGTGTTTGTTTCCCGGGGAAAACACTCACGAGAAACACCGGCTGTTGTTATGCTTGCTGTGACGTTAAATGACTCCGTTCTCCGCTTGTAAATATGCCGTTATAAGCTTCATAGTTGTATTTATCATCTAAATTTGCCGAAACAAGTTTAATATTCTGAAAGCCAAGACTTTGTTTAATTGAAATCAGATGAAAACAAACTGTAACGGACCCCGCCGTGTTATCTAGATAACTATATGCCTTACATTCATAATTTCAGCCGGAGGGAGGGGGGGCTGCGCTACGGAAGAGCAGATTGCGAGCGAGAGGTGCCTGTCATCTTCCCTTCACAAGCTTCACAAATGTATTTATCGTGTGATTTTGGAAATAAAAGTTTCATATTCTGAAAGCCAAGACTTTGTTTATTTAAAATCAAACAAAACACCCGAACCCCGAAAAAATAGTTTTTTACGCAAATCCACGTTTATTTTGAAATGAGCCGTTGCGACATCCGACTGATTTCGATAGAGCGGGTCACATATATATATATATATATTGGTTATAAAATGTTATTCTCTTTTGCAAAACAACATGCTATCTGGCGCCCTCTTCTGGTTAGTAAAACAGTCATAGTATAGTATGTCGAAAATATTGTAAAGTCATTAAAGTACGTTCTAAATTTAATTGATATGATTTCTATAAGTATAAGGACAATTCCATGACAAATGTCATAATATGTCATAACAAGTACACATATTGTATTCCATTAAAAACCATTGTTATTGTATGAAATGAAAAGTTACATAATTATATCACCAAAAGAAATCCAAGTATAGTTTGTCAAAACATTAATATAAAAGTCTACAAAGTGTTTGGATAAATGTGAAAGTTATACTATAGTATGTCAAAAATATTTAAAAAAAACATAATCTGAAGCCAATCACAGATTATAGTTAGTATGCCGAAAATATCAGAAAAAAACGACATATTATATAGTATGTAGAAAAATATGCAAAAAACGACATAGTATAGCTTTTCAAAAATAAGCTTAAAAAACAACGTTGTTCAGTTTGTCGAAAATATCATAACAAAAGGTTATGTCATAAATGTAAACAAAAGTATAGTAATCCGTACATTTGCAGAAAAAAGTTTTAGTTTTAATGTGTCAGAAAATAAGTCATAGTACGTTTGACATTTCAGAGAAAATTACATACATGTTGAAAAAATGCAACATACATAGTCGATAGGTTGTACAGCAAAAAAAAATATATATAAAAAAGAAAAAATGCATGTCAAAAACGTTGAAAAAACGAAACAGAATAGTATCTAAAAAATATATGTCGAGTATGTCGAACATTTATTATTACAGGTCTCCCTTGAAAAAGAGATCGATGATCTCAATGGGACCACCTGGTTAAATAAAGGTTTAATACAATTAGAAAAAAAGGTATATAATGTCAAAAGTTTTAGAAAAAACTGCAGAGTATAGTTAGTCGTACATTTGCAGAAAAAAGGTTTAAAAAATGTGATAGTATAGTATGTAAAAAAGTCACACTCTAGTATGTCTTGAATATCAGAATAAACAACATAGTGTAGTATGGTGAAAATATTGTACGAACAATGTCATTGTAAAGTAAGTCAAAATGATCATGAAAAAAAGTCATAGCATATAGAATTTTGAAAGAATAATTTGTCAAAAAACAGTATAATATGTTTATCTCATTAAAAAAAGTACATTTTTGGGATTGTGGACATTTAGCTTCAGCTGGTTGAACCATGCAGCTGTGATGTGTGACTGGAGACTCTTGGTTTGCTCTTCACTTCAGCGGCCTGCAGTTTGTTCTGTCAGCACTAGCAGCTATTGTCCTCTAGGGGTCTCTGTGGGCTTTGCAATAGCTTAAGCCTTACACCCACAGTCAGCCCTGCAGGGGAGGGGTGAAGTGATGGGGGCCTTACTGTACCGAGAGGGATGAGTCACCTTCTGAATGCGCTGAACACAGGAGGATATCACTGTAAAGCCTCTTGTGATTAGAGGGAACTTTCCCTCATTAAGGCCAGGTTGCTATGTTTGGCTCTGCTCCTCAGAGAGCGCATTCTTCCTTCTTCAAAAATAAAATAAAAACCCCAAATAGAATCATTTATTAATCTGTGCCTCTTGTTTGAATGGCAGATAGTGATTTTTAATTAAGTGGTATTATTGTGAGGATGAGAGGATCCCGAGGTTGTTCCCTGAAGGATTTAGAGTGAATGATCTTCGCTGTACAGTTAGTCACACTTTATTCCGGCTGCAATTCATATTATAGATTTATCTATAATAGATCTATAAAATGTTACCCAAACCCTGAGATTATGTTCTTAATGTGTAGCTTTGTCCACAACACAAAAGGTATTCCGTTTATGAAACTGAAATATTCACATTTATGAAGCTGTAAATGGTAATGTTGATATTGTTGTTTATTTAATTTCACTCAAACCTATACATTGATTATCGAACGAGCTGGCTTTTAGTCCAAACGTAGACAACTTATCAATATATCTTTGCTGCTCTACCCTTTATAATCATGATGATGATGATGATGAATATGCAGATGTTTGGGGTTTTCAGATTGTACACAGCCGCTGCAGTTGAACAAATATCAGCTATTAATATATCTGATTAACTGTAGTCATCTGTCTTAACAAAAACAAATCTTAAAAATCGATCTAAAAATCTATAATCATAAATTGACCCAAATTATGGCTGCTTGGTTGTGGATCTTTTAGTCAAAAATATTTCTACTGTATGTATTTATTTAATTAAAACACAAAATATAAAATACTTTTCCTTTCATCCTATTTTTTTATTCTGGAAAATATCAGCAATAGTTATGAACAGAGATATTTTCAAATGTGTGTACTCATAATTATAAAGCAGTAAGAACAATATTTACATTTAAGAAGCTGAAGCCGGTGATTTCTTTTGTGCTGTTTTTGTTTAAAATATTGGTAAACTTATTTATGATTATTTAAAAATGATACATTTTCTGTATATTTTCATTGTTGCAGATCCATTTCTGATCAATTTGAAATGAGAAATGTGGCCCCCACAATATTAAATGTGAAATGTAATAAACAGCGAAATTGATAAAAAACACTTTATATAAAAACAAACCAAGCCTTCAAAATATGGCGAGATGATATGTCAAAAATACAGTGAAGACACTTTAATGTTGTAAACAAATTTTTACTGATACAGTTAAGAATATTGATACAGCAATGTAAAGCTACCATAATGCACATACCTATGGACTTATGAATCATAATGGGCACTAGATGGATTATAATAAATAGTTGAACACAACATCTGTACACAGAAACATTGCCCCATAATCCATAGAAATGTACATATACCAGTACAACATTTATAATTCCATACATTTACGAATGACAAACAAAATTGATATCCTCCATTTTTTGCCTCTCCTTACTTCTATTTTTTGAAATAAACACAAGCAACTACTGAATTATGTACAGGTTCCTAAACAAGAAACTCCATAAAAGGCACAATTGTCTATACAACATTTACAACAAAAAAAGTACAAATAAAATGATTGGTCATTATTATAATTATATGATTGCACATACAATATGAATGTCAGCATCTGTGCTTTGAAAGGTGATTTGCAACAAAACAAACCCCTGAAAGTGTTTTCAGTCTTACAAAGTGACAAGAATTACAAAAAGAGAACAAGAAGAGCTTTCCATGTTGGGTTTTCAGGTGGCAATGACCAGTCTGTCTTCATCATCACTGGACACCTCATTATAGTCATCGAGGACCTTCTGCCAGCTGGTCACTGGCGGAGGTCGTGGAGGTGCAGGATCACTAGCTCCCTCTACGGGCGACTCCTTACCACCTCTGGTTTGAGGAGCTGGTGAGCACTGCTGCCGTGGGGATTTAACCCTTTCTTGCCTCTCGTCAGTCTGTGTGAGCTCTGCTCTGCTGCCGGGGGTCGCCCCTGGACAGCAGCTGCCTTTAAGAGGGGCGGGTTGTGACGCATGCATGCAGCCCCGCTCACCTCGAGATGGCT